TTTTAAATGTTTCTGACTAAACCAATATTCTTATTAAACTCAAACCATTTATTACAATCACTAGCAGAAACAAAACTTTATATTCTGATCATTTTAAAAATACAAACAGTGTCCTAATGGAATATTTACTTCACGTTTAATAGCTTCTGGAATATATGTTTAACAAATATGTTAAACTTTGTAAATTTATTAAAAAAATATATATAAATTTTTTTTTTTATAATTGTAATAAATAAATGAAATTTTAAAACAACGTCTTTTTAATGGAGTTTCACAGTGACAAAATACATCAAAAAAAAAAAAAAAATCTCTTTAATTACAATGTAAATATAATGTATACAAAAAATACAATGCATAAAAGTTGAATTTTTAATCTCATTTCACGCACAATACGAATTATAACTGGCAACCATCGAGTAAGTTTTGTTATGATTTTTTTAATTAGCAGTTTAAACCTTTTGGGAACCTTATGGAAAACCCGTCAAATACCCAGATTCTTCGGCCCTGATAAAAACCAGATAAAACCCAAACGAGCAAATATGCTTGATTTTATTACCATATGGGACCCGTCTGGAAACCAAAACACTTACCCGTCAAAATCCTGTTCTCGTAACCCAGACAAAAACCATATGGTACTCGTCTGTCGTTGGCTCGGTAGTTTGCGAAATAATAACTATTTAAAACCCTTTTGTCAAACAAAGTTTAACCCCTTAAGTGTGTCTGACGGATATATCCGTCTTTCATTGGTGTAGCTCTATGTGTGTCTGACGGATATTTCCGCATTTTGGAACTGTTGCACCGTTTGTGACTGACGGATATATCCGTTTTTTATATGAGTTAAACAACAGATCAGATATGATATGTTAAATGGTTCTTTGTTTATTCCTATTATGTTATAGCTTTTAACAAAAGTATGGTCTTCATTTTGTACTCTAGAGTTTTTCAAAGTATAGCTATTAGCTTGATATAACAATGCTTTAGTTTAGTGAAAAAGTAAGCATGGCTGCGGCAAGAAAATCTTATCCTAAAAGAAGTAAATATTCTGTTCAAGATCTAGTTGAATATACAGGAGAAAATGATGAATTATCTGATCTCAGTTCTAATAGTGTTTCTTCTAATGAAGGTTCAATTATATCTGTTACAGAAGAAGAAATTATGTGTACATCAGCAGATAATGATAGTGAAACTAGCCTTGTTGACATTGATGTTATGCAATTAAATCAAAAAAATACAAACGATGAACCAAATTGGATAAAAATAGATGGTTATAAAGCAAGTTCTGCTAAATTTGAAGGTAATCCAGGACCTGATCCAAGTTTTCTAGTTAATAGCAGTCCTCTTACTATATTTGAAGCATTTGTAACAGACGACCTTGTTGATCTTATTGTCGAGCAAAGTAACCTTTTCGCAGTACAATATCTAAAAAATAATGTAATTAAAGGTAGATCTCGAGTTCAAAAATGGACACCTTTAGTCAGAGCTGACATCAGACTCTATATAGCATTCATTTTATATCGTGGAATCCTATGGAAACCAACAAATGCAATGTATTTTTCAACAAATCCTCTGTTTGACACACCTTTAATAAGAAAAGTGTTATCTTTTGATAAGTTTTGTCTTATTGAGAAGTTTCTTCATTTTGTTGATAACAGTAGTTTACCAATACATTCCTGTAAAAAAGCAAAAATTGAACCCATCTACGACTACCTAGTAAACAAATTCAAAACTCTGTACATACCAAATAAAAATATATCGATCGACGAATCGTTGCTGCTTTGGAAAGGTCACCTAAGCTGGAAGCAATACATTCCAAGCAAACGTTCCAGATTTGGAATGAAGTCTTTTGCATTATGTGAATCAGCTACTGGGTATATTTGGAATTGTTTCTTGTACACTGGTAAGGAAATGACTGACGGTTTTGCTCTTGACATGCACAAATACAAGTATCAAGCTACTAAAATTGTTATTACGCTAATGGATAATTTAATTGGTAATGGCTATTGTTTACATGTTGACAACTGGTATACATCTTATGAAATTTGCAAGGTATTACTGGATCATAATACTGATTGCATTGGCACATTACGTATTAACCGAAAACAGTTACCACAAGATATAAAAAATGCTAAGATTAAAACTGGCGATACTTTAGTTCGTTTTGATACTAAAACAAATATAATGTGTACCAAATGGAAAGACAAAAAAGATGTACACATGCTGAGTACCTGTGTTCAAAATGATACAGTCGTTGTTAATAGAGCTGGTAAAGAAAAAAATATTCCTCTTGTGATACATGAGTATAACAAAAACATGGGTGGTGTTGACCGATCTGATCAAATGTTAACAACATACGAATCCGAAAGAAAAAGGGTGAAAAAATGGTACAAAAAGATTTTCATGCATTTGATTAGTGTTAGTGCATTCAATGCAAATATTATAAACAATAAAATATCACCTAATATGACATCCTTGCAGTTTAGAGAGTCCATTATTAAAGAGAGTATTGTCAAGTACCATGAATCAGTTGAGAAAAAAAGAAGTCGAACTCGAGTATTACCATCGCCTTTAAGATTAGTAGAACGTCATTTTGTCGATGCTATACCAGCAACAGAAAAAAATATAAAACCATGTAGAAGGTGTGTTGTCTGTTCTGAAAACAAAGTTAGATCAGATACCCGATATATGTGTGTAGACTGTAATGTTGGTTTATGTGTTGTGCCTTGTTTTAAGTATTACCATACAAAAGAAAACTTTAAAGGTTTTTGTAAATAATTAATATTTTGTTATTATATTCTTAGTGTTTTACAAATCTGAGTTTTATCTTTTTATTAAAATTTGTAAAAATTTTAGTTCTTCATTAATATTGTTATCAAAAAATTAGAAATGCATTTTTTTTTTTTTTTTTTATTATACAAATTTAGCGTACTAAACGAAACTAAATTTGACAACTTAAAGCGATCATTAACAAAAATATTTTGCCGTAAATAACAACGCGATGTTTAAATTTACGCCACAGTTAAGGGGTTAATCAATTTTGTATAGATTATCGAGCACCTTATATCTGGAATAAAATTGTACAGCCTAATTTCGATACATCTATCTCTTTTTCTGTTTTTAAAAACAAGTTAAGGAATATTAATTTTTCAACGGATAATATATATTAAAATATTTTTGAGATTTTAACCATTTCTTATTTTAAATGTTTTTGATTAATATTTAGTTATAAACTACCTGTATTATTTTATATTATATTTATATTGTAATTTTTATATGGTTCTGGCAACAAGATCGATATGATCTTTCTCCAGATTCCAAGTTTATATCGTTATATTACTTTTAAATCACGATGTAAATAATGTAAACTGAAAAAAGAAAAAAAAAAATTTAAATAATTTGATACGCCATAGTCATAAAAGTCATAGTCATAGCTATGCATGACTATATAGTCATAAGAATGACTATATAGTCATTCTTATGACTATGGTATTCATTCTTATGACTATAGCCAAGAAAAAATTGCACTAATAGTAAGTTAAACAGACTTTTCATGTGAAAAACAGCCAATGATCATTGATTGTTAAAGAAACATGACGTCACTTACCGCTCATCTAATTAGCTTCTGACTTAGCATGTTTTGAAGCTTGACCCAGTTTGACGTGTTTTGAATATTTCCCTTACGTTTTGATATTTCCCTCACCTGTTTTTAGGACGAAGAGCCTTTTAATAGAACTAAGGTTTAAATAGATGATAGATTTCAGTATAAAAAATATAGAAATGGAATTAACTCAAAAAAAAAAAATTTTTGTGACTTTGCGCGTTTTGCAGATAGGCTCCTCATATATTACATTTTAAGGTGCCCATACAACTTTTTCTACGTTAAATTAACGTCAAAAAATCAAGTCTTATCTAACAACATTTAAAGAACAAAAATACACTTTGGGAATTGCGAAGAAAAGCAACTTTCTGCGTGTAAAACTTTTAAAGTAGGATTTTAAAGTTATAAAACCCCTTAGGGAATTTCGATAAAAATGCAGCGTTTTTTCTAGAGGTTTTGTTGTTTACAAGTTGCAGACTAAGTTTTTCGTCGCAACATGTAAGTAAATACTCTTAGCTCTAAATTAAAATGCGCTTTAATGAAGCATCTTAAGGTTTAATATGTTCAAACATATATGATACAAAAAGGTAACCTTTATTTCAGCTTTTTATTAAAATTTTGAAGAAACAACTTTTTCATATTTTGTTTAATTTACGTTACGTAAAAATGCCAAAAAGAATTGTGTAATTTTATTTGTTAAATAGAGTAAAATAACTTACCAACGATAAATTGAAGATATCACCACTACTTCGAGAGTAAAAATTCAGTTTATACAAATAAGTTTAGAGCGAAAATAATATTTTACAACGAAGTTTTTTTTATCATACGACATTGATAAACGTTCTTGCGTCTATATTAATACACATTTATTGAAAGCTAGCAATAATAAAAAAAACAACTTCAAATTGACTTCATGAAGTCAATTTGAAGTTGTTGTTTTTATTATTGTTAGTTTTTTTTTTTTTTCAATTACCTATGAATTCAGTTGTATTTTACCACTGCGGAACACGCAGATATTTATTATAACTTGCGTGTTCAGGCACGCACTGAGAAGATTTGCTGTGAGATGACCCTACGTCAACATATTATATATTGCGTAAACTTCTTTATGTAGATAGCTACGTTTCAGTTTTTAAACACGATGTATTTGATTAAGTTAAAATGATAGATTTTAATTTTTTTTTCTTTTAATTTTTCAAACTGCATTAATAAACCTTTTAGATTATAAGTCACTATTTATTGATAAAATTAAATTCTAATTGTGAACTATTTTGCTTTTTTGACAATTTATTCTTTAGCTGTAATAAATCGCTGGCGTTTAAATAATAGCTTTTTAACTTTTTAAGAACACTAAAAGCGTTTGATTATTGTTAGAGAGTTAATTAAAAATTGTTTTTTTTTTTAGCTTCTGAAACTTTTTCTTCGGTGTTGTCAATAGTAAAGGTAAACGATGTTTATTGTTTTTTTATTTTTTTAGTTTCATTTTAATTTTCTTTGTTATGAATTTAAAGTAGTACTTATAAAAGAATATTTATGAACTAGTAAAGTAAAAAATATGCTTGCCTCATTTATTTATTTTTCTTTAAATTACTTATTGGTTTATTGTTATACTTTGTTATTTTTGTTTTTTTTTTTGTTTTTGTTTTTGTTATTATTAATTAACTTATTTTTGCATAATTTTTTATTTAATTTTAATAAATTTAACTTAATTTTCTAATTGATTTATTTTCCTTTAAGTTATTTATTTGTTTTTGTAATAAACTGTCGTTTAAAAGTTTTCTATTTTAGTTTACTGAAACCCGCAAACAATTTTTGTTTAAATTATACGTCATTAGTAATACAATTTTGAATTATACGTCATTAGCTATACGCGTTTCAATGGTACGTCATTAGTAATACCTATAATATTTATTAAAATCCCGTTAACTCGGACTCTGAACGGGTATATATATTTTGTCTGACTTAGCGAATATCCGAGTTAAGCGAACTTATCCAGGGTCCGAGTTAACGGGATTCTACTGTACTTATATTAGTTTAATTTAATACCTCCAGCGCTTAAACTTGTTTTTTGTTCAAACTTACATTTGTAAATGCAGTTTCTGGATTTCAGTTTTCAGTCTGTGGCATATTTTTATCTCTTTTCCCTCTTTTGTTGAAAATCTTGACAAATCTGGAGTAGAAAAAGACTGAGCGTTAGCTTCTGATATTTCTTTCGGATTTTTTTGGCTTTATTTTGATTCTTGTTGGTTGTAATGAAGGTGATGAAAACGAGGCTGATGGTTTAGATAAAAGGATTATTGTTTTAGAAGAAAACTTATTTTATTGAAGAAACTAATTAAGTTTCATATTAAATCTTTTGCAGGTGTTCTTACTGGTATTAGCGCTGAGAAGCTTTTTTAAAAAAATGTTTTAAGATCATGAAAAGGTGGACATAAATGACTTTGATCATTGTCAATTGCTTTGCTAGCTAAGTGGAAAGATTCTAATTATCACAAATAGTTCATTCTCTGAAAACTACAGTTTGATGCAGCTAGAATACAGCGCAATTTTTTGTTACTAACTGTACTAGCAATAGAAACGCTGAGTCATGTGTCTTCCTATAAACCAATTACAATTTGTACCTTATAAACTGGTGGAATGTTTCACATTTACTTAAGAAATTAAATGCTCTATCGTCTCCTTAAAGGTAGGTTAATCTATTAAAGTGAATAGATAGCTGTACCTAGCAATAAAAGAAATGATGAGCATGTCTTCCTTAATGTAGTAATTCCACATATTTAGAGTTTGTTTAAAAGCATTATCATGAAACATTTTTTGTATTTAGACATAATCGAAAGATTGAGAACAATTTTGATGTTGATCAATAGAGAGAAACTATTAAACTCGTAGCCATAGTTAGAAGTTTTAACTTTTTATACAACTGGAAATTTTAAAATTAATTTTATTTTTTAGAAATAATTTAATCAAAAAATATTATTTTAAACATTGGTAGTTTTTAACTATTTTTAAAAAGTTGTAAATAAAATAGAGATCTACGAGAAAATAAGTTTTTGAAAAATTGTTAGGTCAATAATTTTAATTACTTTTATTTGAAATGAATCTATATTTTCTTAAATATGCCACAACTCGTAAAAAAACAACTGCTAATCTTTACCATTTAAAAAGACAACTTAAATCTTTAACATAAAACCATTAAAATAAATGAGGATACTCAATTAGTCAAATAGAATAATGAAAAAAAAATTGTTTTTTTTTAATAAAAAACCACTAAAACTCAACTTTATTGATTCGAAAGTTTATTTACTTTACTTTCTTTAATTTAGTACATTTGTTTGTGTTAAGTTTAAAATTGGTAATAATTATTTACCTAATATAAGGAGAAATTCCTTATATATAAAATTATTTTCCTTCTTACAGTCCTTTAAGAATAAATAGTATTTATTTTATGTTTTTAACATTTAAATAATGTATAAATTATGTTTATTTTGTTTATGTTAAATAATTTATGTAATAAAGCAGCATGACTAAATACTTAATATGAATTTTAAAACATCCTTTTTGAGGAATAACTGCGTCCAAATTTTAAGGGTCTTAAAAAAATCCCAAAGTTTAAGGTTTTAAAAGATGTTAACGTATTAACACTAAGTTTTAAAAACTATATTTTTGCTCAAAAACTTTAATTCAGACCTTTTATAATACATTTTTTAAAAAATATGGCTATTATTTGTTAAATTTTAAAATAATCTTATTTCATTTGAGACCTAACTTCACATTCTTTGAATAAATATTCGGTATTATCAGGAATCCATCTGAGGGTCTTGAACAAAATCCCAAGTTTAAGGTTTCAAAACCATATTTACTATAGAGTATATAACTAAGTCCTAGATTATATTATAGCATAGTTCAAGAAACCACTTTTTTTAATCCATTAGTTGTATTATTTATATTTTTGCAGTTATCATATTTTTCGTTTTACGCTTAATTTATAAAGATCTTTTTAATGCGAAACAACATGCTATTTCGGTAAAAATGTCAACTAAAATTGATTTAAAGTTAATTCCTAGAGTTTAGTAGAAACGATCAACAATCAGTTGCAGAATGGCTGGGAAAGGTTTTGGAAGTTGCTGAGATCAAGTTCTCGTATGGATGATTACTACCATACAAATACTTGTGCTTGCAAGAGCACCCATAATTGAAGAACAAAACAATGAAACGAACGAAAATTTTGCTGCTGCTGCAACGAGAAGATGTGCTAAACTAAGGCCGCTTGAAAATCAAACACAATCAGTTTGCTATGAGTGTTAACTCACCAATCATTTTGCAAGAGATTGTTATCTACAAATAAATAGTAATTAAAACAAGTCAGGTTGATGACGGGAGACAATTGATGATCTGTGTTACTCGTGTCAAGAGTGTGTATCAAGAATGTGTTCAAAAAACGTAACGAGGGAGAAGACGTCCTTAAACAATCAGTAATTGTGTTACCTATTATACGCTTGTCATTAGTGGCGTTCTTCGGGATGTATTGATTGACTATTGCATCATTTATACAAAATGGGTGACATGATAAAAAATTTACCTGCTGCATTATTTATAAAAAATGTGCGACAAATATTACGATGAAAGAAGCTAGCGTGATAACTGTAAATGGACAACAACTATCAAAAGAACGGCTAAGAGAGTTCCGTGCAGCATACTCGAGGCAGTTTATTGCTATAACGTTAGTCCAAAAGATAGTTGTAAGTCATCTACTGCACTTGCAAATAAGTTATATCAATACGAAGTTAGAGTGAGAGGAATTGACAACAATAAGAACGCACATAATCCTTATAAGAATATAACCAATAACTTTAAACCTGACTATAAAGTATGCGTTAAACCCCCGGATAACCGATGTGACTCTCAATACAAGATTGGAATAATTACAGGGATAAAAAGTGGACAAAATGTGCCGACATATACGAGACCTGAGGCAGGTAAGAGTTAACAACAGTTCGACTGAAGACCTTAGACAAGTAAGAGGTGATAATGATTTGAATAAGGATCCAGAAGATGATGAAAAACTATACAATGTGCTGCCGGGAAATAAAATAAACAAGACACCAATGTTGCGAAGAAGTACGCGTAAAAGGAGGACCCCTGAACGTTATAGTCGTGAGACAGAGTGGTCGTTTTGACCAAGGAAAAGTGTAAATATACCAAATTAAAACATTGGGTAAAAAAAATTTAAAGTTTTGTTTGAAAATTCTAAGAAATAATATTCAATTATCTAATTTTTATTTTATTATTAATATATATTTTGTGTTCATATAATAAAAGATTAAATTACAAGGAAACGGTTACATTATATAGAGATAATATATAAAAACAGACATGGGCTCAAAAAAGGTAGCATCTTATTTGAGCTCCTCTCTATTTTTATATATCATCTTTATATCCGTTTCTTTATTCGTTTCTTATTCATCCATACCATACGAATGACTAAAATAAAGATAAAAACATTCAAATTAATTTTTAGTCTTTTAAAAGAGAAAATGCTTTTTAGGTCTAATTTTTAAAAATAACATTTTTCATCAGCATTTTTATTCACCAATTTTAGATATAATAACAAAAAGTATATACAAAAAGCAAAAAAGCATTAAATATCTAAAAAATAATTATTTTTTTAGATATTTTGGTAAATAAGACTTTATGTTTGGATTTTATTTTTAAGTTCAAAACTAAAAAATCCGCATCTGAGATTACAAAGTAATCTCAGAAATAAATGATTACAAAGTAATCTCAGGAATAAATGAATTGGAAGGTTATCTCTAGAATACTAAGTAGTTAATTTGAGGTAAATTTTTTTGTTAAAGTTAATTAATACACAGTACTCTGAAACAAACTAATGATTAAAGACCACCAAGAGCTTGATAAATGAATATAAAGTTTAAATCCCCTCAATTTGAAAGGGTTACAAATTCTATAGGTCATAATTTTCAAAAACTCTATGAACATTGTATGAAATTAAAAATTTAATCGATGAATATAAATTTAGTATTCATATTTCATATTTTTGAATGTTAAGAGAATGTTGTATGAAATTAAAAATTTATCAATGAATATAAATTTAGTTAAGAATTATAAAAGAAAAACATTTTATTAATTTGTGGCTCTCACTTTTGGGGCAGTTGTGGTTAAAATTTTATAGATTTTTTGTTAAAATCCAGGCTCTAATCATCCCAAAGCATCCTTATTTGACATAAGTATAAACATATAAATGTTTAGAGTTGGCTCCATGTCTCAAAGTTATATATCTCAAACATCGAAAACGCTGCATCCGCCACAGATTTTAATCTTTTCATTTGGCTTCCTTTAAAACATGGTAATATAATTATTATCATCCAGTCTTTAAGAAAGAATAAGTTTAGTTATAATGTGCTCCTGAAGATCCATTCTCTCTC